GCGTCCGAATTAGGCTATTTTTCGGATTCGGCACGAATCAAAATTTTTCCGATATTCGACTCGAATTCCACTTCGGATACTTCGATTCGCTCATCTCTAATGATAACTCTCTGAGCTGGCTGTGTGAGTTTTACTATATCATATATGTGTTGGTTCTGCATCTACCGTGGCTTTTGCAGAACTTGTGTTGTACTTGGGGTGCTTATCAGTTATGGAAGGCTATTACCAGTCAATATGCAATGCTTCTTTTTAATGTTTGTCACTGTTCTTTCTGCTGTTGTGCAGATGCATGGGAATAAGCAACATCTACAGAAGGACTTCTTCTTGTACAATGCCTCCAAAGATCGGTGTAAGTCTTATATCAACATGAGAGAAGTCTCACAACGTTTTCGACTACCTCCCAGTGAATACGTCATCATCCCTTCTACCTATGAGCCACACCAGGAAGGAGAATTTATTCTGAGGGTCTTTTCAGAGAAAAGAAATGTTTCAGAGTAAGCCTATTGGAATGTCTTCAGTGCTTTTAATAACTTCAATTCCCACAAAAAAATTTAAATTTAAAAGAAAATGTAATTTAGCATAAAGCACATCTATGCTTTACCCCTGCATGGCCTACTGCCCTCCTGGGTTGCCAACCAACTGTAAATTTGCTGACAGTCCGTAAAAGTTGGCCGATTTGTAAACTGTCTGTTATGGACTGTGGCTGCCCATAAAAAATGTGGCCATGGACCAGCTTCACAACTGTGTGGGTTCGGACCACCCGAGCCAGCATTGGAGGAGGTCATGGACAGCTCCAGCCCCCAGCCAGGCCACACAAAGTCTGTGGGGGTGGGGTCACTGATGTAAGGGGGGAGTGATTACACTAAGGCAGGGGACTCCAAACTTCTGAAACAAAGGGGCCAGTTTACTTTTAGGGGGGCAGATTGTGGCCTGTGGAAGTAGAAAATGCCATGGGCTTGGTATTCCATATGAGTTAAAAAAAATTACAGAATTGGTGTAAGTGGGAGGAATAGTTCCCCATCTTTGGTCTCAGTAGAAGGGATAGTGCCCATATCAGTGGAAGGAATAGAGAGCCTCAAGGGCCGGATAAAGGCAAGCAAAGGGCCACATCTGGCCCTCAGGCTGCAGTTTGGAGATCCCTGCACCAAGGTTATGGAGGACACTGATGTAAAAGCTTCCCCTTATATCAGTAACTCAGTAACGTAATGTAGTACAACACATGGTACACTGCTAAAAATGCTGCCTGAATTTGGTCTGTTGTGGTTCATTGGGGATTGGTATAACACAACGCACGTCATCGTTTGTGCGTAGTGGACTAGGTTGTATCATTCGGACCTTAGGGTGGAACCACAATTCAGTTGTTGTGCATTTTCATGCATTTCAGTATATGTCTGTGGAACACCCATCTAGCAAAAATAACTGAATGAAGTGTGGTAAAAGTGAAACTTGCAGTAAAAACAAGGTCCACTTAATATATAAGGGCCTACTCCACCACTGTAAATATCAGCATTCAAAAATAAAAATAAAATAAAACCTGTAAGAAAAAATGTAGGGATTATACGTACTTTACCTTGGCTTTCATACTGCAGGGGCTGACATCACCATCCTTCCAATGATATCCTAGGGAATTCTGAGAACACAACATCTTACAAGATAATGTCCCAACAAGGATGGTGATGTCTCCCTTGTATAAGTGCCATAGGAAGAACTGGGGTAAGGTAAGTTTTATAGTTTTTTCTCCATAGTTTTTTTTTTTTGTTTACATTAATGCTGCTATATACAGAGGGAAGGAGGCTTAAGTCTAAGCAGCAATAAAAGACCCAAATCAAATTAATCTGTGTTATCATTAATATATCATGAATGCATTTTTTAAATGCAAACAGTGTAAGTACTTGAATTTGACCTGGTATCAGCTTCCTACAATCTCACAACAGCGAAACTGGAGTGTAAGATGAAGAAGCAGCACAAAGAACCATTCAGTTTATGTCTGACAAGAACCATTGTGATTAGAAGAGAATGCTGAGAGACAGAGACATGAGCTCATCACTTTGCTGCTTTTCCTTTCACTGTTCAAATACAGACTGAGGGGGAGTCCAGGATGCCCTGGGCTTAGAGGAAGTGGGTTGAATGATTCTAGTCATTGAAATGTGGACATCTAGCAGCAAGAAAAAGTACTGCAGGAAAATCTGTGGATTAAAAGCAAATATTTCAGCAAAAAGCTGGTTTTGTTATTTTGTCTATTAACCCTTTACGGTCATAGATGTATGGCTTACATCATTAGCAGTGGTGGCATTTACACACACTCCTGGCTGGCTATAAATGTGTGTGTACTTCTTCAGCAGACAGTCAGGTTTCTTGTGGAACTGATTCAGCCATCAAATCTGTGGAAGTGATTAAACGCTGCGGTTTTTTTTTGCACCAGGTCATACGTGACTGCATCACCAATGCATGTAACAAAACAAAAAAAATAATAATAAAAAAAAGAGTAAGGCACAAAAAATTAAGAAAAATTAAGCGACATGCAGGGATTGTGATGTAAATGAGCTCTTACTACAGTGCTCTGGGACCCATTAATATGTGAAGGTCTCAATAAATAGGAAATACACAAACTTCACAGAAAGACATTTTTTTAAATGAAGGCACTGGTGTAGAAAATTAAAAAGAGTCAACTGTAAAAGAATTCTATGAAATAATATAATGACATGCAGTAATAAAAGGCACAGGCAAGTTTATGGACACATCATTCTAGGTAAATCTTTCTAACTACTTTCATTTTTTTTTTTTCAGAGAAGTTGAAAACAAGATTGAAGCAGACCGACCAAGTGTAAGTATTCCCTCTTCTGCTTTCTCTCTTGTGCTGTCCAGCTTAATTTATCACTTCATTCCAAAGAAGTGTTTTTGTTCTGGTATAGCATTTGTTTCTGAACAGTCATAAAGAGAGGCATTGAAGACCATTTATATGTGACCTTTGTGAAAAGTGCTTTACTAGGCATATATCATTCCGTGTAGCAATCAAAGTGAAGAAAATGTATTTAAAGCCCTAACATTTTATTTTAGTTTTTAAATAGAACTGGTCAGGTTTTTATTGCTGCCTCTGTGAGATTAGCTCTTTCTGTTTGTCCTGATAATTACTGACTCTAGGACAGAACATGATGGGAAATCCAAAAGTTGTCACCAGCACAGGAGGTGAGGAAAAATCTATCAATGGGGATATCTTTTCTGGTGACAACTATCTAAAGCTGACTGTGCTTAGTGCAATCTGATAGTTTAAAGTATATGTAAACCCTCACATTGTAAAACAACAGATTTGGTTTAAAATAGAAATGAAAGGCAAAATATTTGTGTATAGATATAAAAAAAAAAACATTATTAATACCTTTTATTAGTAAACATTATTAATACAATTTCCTCTGTTCTCAGCTGCATAAGAACTGGGGGAGGAGAGACAGCAGCAAGCTGATCTTCTAAGTGAATGGCTGTGCAGGGGGTGGGTCAGATGAAGTCTGATCATTGAAGGAGAGCAGGCTGAGTTCCCAGCTCAGCTAGAGAACTGTCTATGGTGTGTTCTCCTGCTTAGTGCGGTCAGTTTTTAATAGGAAAGCAGGGAGACTGACTGGAACACCTGGGATTTCACACAAAGGAAGCAATACAAAGCAAACAGGATACTTTTTCATACAAGTACATGGTACAGCAGGCACATATCAGGAATATGAAATGTTGGGTTTACATACTCTTTAATCCCTATGTAGTGTGTTGAGCCTGCCTGATTGATTGCAAATTACATAGATCATTTAGGTAGGTCCTCACACACAATCTTTCTTATAAATATAATGATGCTAGGCAGGGGCGGACTGACCATTCGAGCACTCGGGCACTGCCTGAGGGCCCGGGGTCATTAGGAGGTCCCATAAAATGCCCCTGGTACCTTTTTATAGGCTTTTTTGGGTGTGTTTTGAGTGTGGGCAAGGACACAGGGGCCCCATGATCCCCAATTCCCCGGGGGCCCCATGAGTTGTCAGTCCGCCCCTGATGCTAGGTGACATCAATAGAATTGTCATTGCCATTTAATGTTTATGGGTGTTTATACATGTATCACTGTTCTGACCATAGTCTATTTTGTTTCATGCACTCAGAAAAAGAAAAAAGCCAAGGTGGGTCCTAGCGTGAGCTGTGTGACTTGTACATTGCATGTTATTTATAAAAGCAATAAATGTGACTTTCACTAAACATTTACTGCAGTTGAATCAATCACTGTCATTTAAAGCACATGCACTAGGAAGATCCACCTGCAATACATGTTGGTTGAAAATCATGTTAGCTGCTTTTTGAATATACCCCTTTTTTTGTTATGGGAATGGAAATTGGTTTTGCTAAAAATCATTGATGTACTGCCTGCACTATATTCTTATATTCGGTGTGCTGAAAATAATAAAAGATCATATTTTTACTGTTCTACTTCCGTCATGTAGTGTTTCTGTTTATCCCTACTAATGCATCCATATGTTATAGCTTCCATGTTGATTCTTGGTTTGCAATAATTATCTCGTTATGATGCATTATGTGAACTGTATGTGGCAAAAGGAAAGCAAATCATGTTTATTTCATGATTTACTGATTTTGGATTTACCATTTTTTTCTTCTTTACTTAAGCAAATAAATAAAAAAATAGTTTAAATTACAAACTAAAATGTAATCAATTTAATCATAAAATAAATATGGTATATTTAGAATAATCTAGTGTAAGTACCTGAATTTGACTTATCAGCTACTTGTAATCCTCTGTACTGTAGAGCTCAGCCTGGAAGGGGAAGCGGTTGGGTTATACTGTCTCATTGGTGTACTACACAATACTTGGCATACTTGTGGATGCAAATTTTGGCTCAGGGGAAAAAGGGATGATTTGTATGTCTCTGTCCACTATCCTCAGTTGATACACTCCTTATTTTTGGGATTTGTGATGGGAGCAACATGCAGATAGTAAAATATATATATTAATACCTCCTGCGCTTAAGATGAAGAGAAAACCTACACTAAGCTGCCAACACCCTCCTTTAAACCAAAAAGTGCATATATAGACAAGAAAAATTGGTGTAGCGCTAGGATAAATACCACTAATAACACATTTCATATAAAATGAATAATTAAATAGTCATGCATAAAACATAACCCCTATCTGGGGCACGTGAATAGATACTAGTGATGGTGACACAAAAACACCATGCAAAGGGATTCATACAGGTGACAAAGGTGCATAGATTACAGTCCACTATACACAAAAACTGCAATCCTTGAACAAGCGTGAAAGTGCACACTGGTGCCACTGGTGTCACAATCCAGAAATGGTAAGAGTGCCTCCTCACCTCCCCGCACTGACCACAAGGGCCAATACGCCTTTGCACCTTATAGGTGGAATCCTCAAGTACCAGCCGGTAGGGTCCACACTGGATGCTACCTCAGACGCTGTGCTCCCAAATGCCAAATCCAGCTGCTTTACACTG